AGAAACTCAAATGAAAGCTGATTACATCTACTTTAAGAGTCTAACTAACATTATAACACCAAGCTAAGAGATAAATATTTGCTAAGTATTACTCAAGCATCTCTTTGTTTCAGTATGGTTTGCAAAAAAAGACAATTTGGCATGATATGCCGGCGCATATACATACATATATTTGCCAATCTGTGTTTTGTGATAATACAGCACATAAAGCACGAAAATTAACTTACGAGCACAGACTTTTTTAAACTAATTATTTTATGGATGCAGGATCAATATTTTCTAAAAGTCACAGCCGCTAGAATCATTGTTGAAGATTTCTCTAAATATACGTAATAAGTTATTAACTTACTTTATTAGGTCCGTACTGCCAGATATGGCCAGCTGCCAATGTCGCCAACAAAAGATGGGCCAAGCGTAATTCTTTGTCGATTCTAAGCGTGTCTGCAGCGATCAGTGGAAGTTTTTGTATTCTGTCCTCCAGCAAACCTTTTTCCAGCAATTCCGGTAGCTCGTATGCAAAAGTAAAAGAAAATCAGACAGAAAGTGGAAAAATGTCAGGCTGGAATAGCAAAGAAAGCTACAAAAAATGTGTGCATAAATCTGTCTAATCATCTTAATGCTAGATAGAAATTCGAAAAAAAGTAAGGAAATTTGGCTTGTGAATAAATATTTAAAATTCTTCGAACTTAAAAATAGGCTTTCAAACTTTTTAGCAGCAGTTGGATAACGATGGGTTACTTTTAAACTGCTGAGGCAAACATCTTTCATGTTATCGTCGTTACTAAGTCTCCAAGCACGTGGTTAGCAAATTTATTGTTCTTATCAATGTAATCCAGTAAAAGAGAAGAATTGGGCTTTCAGTTGAAGGACGTGTCGACAGCTGAAGACACTTAGCCTACAGGACAGTGCAGACAAAAAAAACTAACAGGAAAAAATAGATCCTCTCTTCTGCTAGTGAGCAGCAGTTTTTCGTATTATTCGCACCCGCTTAATGTTTTGCATTTGAAATTTCAGCTGTACAGTTTTGTAGTGCTAAAATCACACCTTCCTGATTAGCCCTGAGCTCATAAACTAAGAAAAGAGTGAACTTTCCGACATAATATCGTGGTGCTTCCTTATGATGTGCAGCTGATAAAACGATTATAAAGTTTGCGTTTCTTACCCCGTTTGTATTTGGTTGTAACACAATGGTAAAATACAATATGAAATTTCAGTTTGGCTTAAAAATGATATTTAGTGGGCTAGTAATTCTCTCGGCTTAGAATATTCTTGCAGTTATATTATTCAAAATTCAGCCCTCTGGCTTCCTTAATCACTGTGTTAAATCATCCAAACGGATGCTTCTAGAGATTGACCCACCACTACTGTTTTTTGTTCACTGATATCTCTAACCCTCGCACATGAGATATAGACGTAGGTGAGGGTTGATTTTAAGTCCCTAGGGCTGCACATGCAGCAGAAACAACCTCATAAATTTCAGCTTCCAAACAGCTGCCGCGGAGTTGGAAGTGGTCACAAGCCCTGTATTACAGCCCTTCTCCCGCCCTCACACACATACAACAAACTTTCTTCATTAAGCGTTTTTGTTCTCCGTCAGTAATGCATGACGCATAAAAAAATGTTTACGTGTGCTATTTTACTGTAAAAGTAAACAGTGAAATAGCGAACTCAGTAAGCTTACCTGGAGCTAACACTAAAACGTTAGTGATGTGTTACAACTTATAAAAGTGCGGGGAAATAAAATTATTTTCAAAGCCCAGATGTTTTCAGACAAAAAATAACGACAACAAAAAAACTTAATCAGAAACCGCGACTAACAATAAGTGCAGAAAGCATACAGACCTTGAATGTACGTGAGCGGGAGCCTTTTCAATGATAATTGGTAAGGAAATAGATATGAAAAACCAGGATAAGCGAAAAAAATGGAAGAATTCCAGTGCATTTACCAATAATTTCGTGCCATGGTACAAATTTTTCCGGAAGTCTGACCAGTGGGTCCGGATAAACAAAGCCGAAGTCTGGATGGACGTCGAATTGCTCCAGAATTTTTATTACTCCGTCGCTTAACATTGGCAGCAGTAAATCTAAGAAGGTTTATTAGCGGCGTTTTTTCGACAAGGAGTTTTGTCAGGCACTGGTTACGCAATCTGGGAAAACTGCGCTCGGTCTAGAGCATAAATTAAACGAAAAAATATTTCTTCACTTTCTGGGCTGAATTAGACTGCCTGTATGGGGCTTCGCATTTTACTTCAGTAAAGTAACACACCGTTCACAGTTTTGCAGCATCCCTCTGCCTTAACTTGTTTTGCTGCAAGCAATCTTTGAAAATTTGTTTTTACTATTCCGGTTTGTTACAGATCCTTTTACTTCTGTATGCCGCTCATCCCTTATTTTGGGATAGTGAATAGAGGCATTGTGCACTGGAATAAATTTGCGTTCTTTCATGCTTCCGCTAATATTGATTCTAGTCTTTTTTTCCAACATCAGGGAAGATAATCGCAACAAAATTTCGAATATTCCAGAAGGAACATTTTTATTTATTTTTCTGGACTATTTTGTACACTTTTTTGTCTAAGTTCTCAAATACCGATCTGTAAGTTTGCTGCCGACTCTCTGTTTGGATGTATTCCTCTCACAAGCATTTTCCAATACTAAGACCGCCCTGGAACCAGTGTTGGTATCATATGTTAGTGACCCGATGGGTTGCTTCCACATGTTAGACTACGCAAGGCCTTTCGATCCTGAACTGAAATCTTCAGTTGGTATCATCGCACGCGAGATGTGCATGCGACTTCTTCGGGGTGCTTTTGAGTGACCGTTTTATTTCTAGCTGGCACTACTCTCTCATACAGGATGTTCATTACTTGTTGACAGTGCGAGCAACATGCTATTCCCATTAGATTTTACTTTCTCTCACTGTAGCACTGATGTTCTACATTTTTCTCATTTGATAAGGAGTCCAGAATAGCTTATACGGTCACGAAGAATATTTCGTAATAATGTGGTGAATGAAAACACATAATATATGTATAAACGCATTCATATATTTCTTCGTTGCAATAACTCAATTCCAGAACCACGAAAAGTGAGAAGCCTAAATTCCGGAAACACGATCCTGAGCCATATTTTGGTCCAATTTTCTCATATTCCTTGCTCTGTCGCAAGTGGCATGAAAAATTCAGCCTTAGGCCAGCACACAATTTTGCCCTAACTTAATGTCATTTATGTCCTACACATGATTGCATACTTCATATTATCATTCGACTATTATTAGTTCTAAAACGACGGTGAAAAGAAATTTCAGCTACCTATTTTCTCTGGTCCTTCCTTGCCAACTGCCGTGTCTGCTTGTAAGACCACAGAGTGCATGAGTGATATTAAAATGGGAGGATCATATGTGAAGCAGGTACATGATTGCTAAGTTCCAGCTTCCTAATTTCTCTGATACTCGGGTTGAAAGTGAATGACAGAAATGCGAATACACGCACAAACAACCTCTTGTCAATATGTGTTTTTGCACCTGCATAAATACGGGAAAAAAATCGTATAAAAATTCGAACTTACACATCCATGCACAGACACACCGCACACCGGCAACTTCTCAATAGTATGAATTTTTGAATTTGCATAAAGATACTTTGGCTAGAATCCGACCCCGTGACAATGGGATGGAAAATAAAACAAGGGCAGTGTTGGAGAATTAAGAAACGCTAAGAAGCAAAAACTTTCTGCTAGTCACAGTTTTTCTTCTCAAACTTGCGTCGTGGGTAGCACAAACAGATTATTTGACTGTTGCACGGTTTTTGAGTTTCAATAAACATAAAGAATAAGTACATATGAAAGGTATGACTATAGCTGGTGTAGGTTTAGGAATTTTATGGGCAAATTTCACGGTAAAAAATTCTCTTTTTTTGACAAAGTGTAAACCAGTTTGCGGCAGCGAAATAAAATGTAAGAAAAAGCCATCAATCAGCTTCCCAGTGCTGCGCCTTTGATAAGAAGTGTAAATTTTGTTCATACTTACTAAAGTAGTGATAGATCTCTTGATCACGACAGAAATGCGAGCGTAATTCTAAGCAGCGATCGAAATAGCCAACCCATTTTGACAGCAAGAAACCCAAGCTGAACCGCACCAAGCTTGCAAGTTCGATCATGCGTTTTTACACTAAACTCGCAAGTCGCTAATAGCAGGAATG